TGAGTTGTTTGTTGGCTAGTTTTTGGCTTGTAGCTTGTTGCTTCTTTGTTTTGAATGGCTCCCAGCAAGCAGGGGTGCACAGCGGGCCCACCACAGTCCCAGACTGCACTCCGGGAGGCTCTAGTCACAGAGCGTTGGGGTTCTTAGGGATTGGCTTGTTTTGGCCTTGTTTTGAAATGGGATTAGCTTGATTTTTGTCTTATTGTGAAAATCGGGGTGCTTATTTACCACGTGAAAGTTGGCAACTGTGGGTCCTTTCCACCTTTGGTCTCAATGCTTTGGCTGCATTTTGTAGCAGGCAAGTAAAGTGGGAATTAGATTGTCACATCCCTGCCTCTGAAAGTGGACCTAAAATGAAGCGTTGCCAGCCTGGATGCTAACTGTTTTGTGTCCTGTCAGATTGAATGTGTAGGGAATTTGTGGGGTGTTTTGTCCAGAGGGAGTGGATTTTGCTAAGAGAAGTGAAGGATTTCACCACGCTGGCATAGTACGGGCGGGTGGCATGTCAGCTTTGCCAGGGCATCTGAACCTGCTGTCCAGGGCAGATGCCACCATTCATGCCAACTTGTTGTGATACTTTGCATGTCTAGTGAACCTCAGTCCACAACTCAAGCCACTGTACTCCTTGCCCCCCATTTTGGAATTTGAACCCGCGTCTTGAGGTGTGAAATGCAATGACCCTTTGTGCTGCTGACGACCTTACCTCTGGTACATACACAGCACCCGATGCATGGCCGTGACCGTGTGCTGGAGCGTGAATGGGAGAAGTCATCCAAGCTGCTGCTCGCGTGAGCAGGCCTTTGGGTTAGCTGCCTTTTCCCCTCTTTAGCCACAAGCTATTGCCTGCTTCTGGTCAAGGCGTCTCCTAAATGAGCTGCTCCTTGCTGCTGAGCTGTATGGATGTGTGAGAAACCCTGGGGTAGTTTGAATTTCCTAACTTGCCTTTCCAAATAATCATTCCTCTCCCCTCCCCCCATATATTTATGACAATAGTTTCACCAGAAGGAATTACTTTAACCTCTCCCCTTAATTGCTCCTTAATTGACAGGTTTCAGAGTAACAGCCGTGTTAGTCTGTATTCGCAAAAAGAAAAGGAGTACTTGTGGCACCTTAGAGACTAACCAATTTATTTGAGCATGAGCTTTCGTGAGCTACAGCTCACTTCATCGGATGCATACCGTGGAAACTGCAGCAGAAATGGCCCAACTTGATGATCACTTTAGATAAGCTATTACCAGCAGGACAGTGGGGTGGGAGGAGGTATTGTTTCATGATCTGTGTGTGTATATAATGTCTGCTGCAGTTTCCACAGTATGCATCCGATGAAGTGAGCTGTAGCTCACGAAAGCTCATGCTCAAATAAATTGGTTAGTCTCTAAGGTGCCTCAAGTACTCCTTTTCTTTTAATTGACAGAGCTTCCTCTTGTTGCTTCCCAAACATGGCTAGATGCGTTGTACGAGCAAGTGAGCCGATGGCAGGAGTCTTTGCGCGAGTTGTACCTTTTTGCATTTTTATGCTCCTTTAAAATGCAAGGCTTGTAAAGAGCCGACACTTGAAAGGGCTTTAAAGACATTCGTGTAACATTGATGAACTTGATGCCTGTCTGTCTCCTGCTTCCTTTTGACTTGATCAGTCGAAGCTGAAAGCGGAACAAAGGTGCTAGCTCAAAGTACAAGGGGTAAAGCAGAGGAAAAAACCCTACCTAGGAAAAAAAAGTGATGTATAAAAGATTCTTCCTGCTGGCTGGTTGCAGAGCACAGCTGAGCTGTGGGAGCCTGTCTCCAAAATCTCTCTGGTCTCCTTGGTGGGAGCACTCACTTGGTAGCTCTGTTGCATGGGTGGGGTGAGTAGCAAGGCTTTCTATCCCCTGAGGAGGGAGAAGAGCTGTATGCTCCATGAAGTCCATGAGAGACTCGGCTATTGCTGATCTTCTTTGTGTGCAAGGTGCCCAGATGCTGCAGTGAGGGAACCCTAGGGCTGAGAGATGGCTTAGACCTGTGGGCATATGAGACACTTGAAGCTCCCTTGGTTGGTGACCTACCAAGGGAGACCTAGTGCTGGGCCCTGTCAGCGCCTATCTCCTCCTTTTTGCTGCCTGATTACCTCCAAGCATGGGAGAGTCACCCTCCCTGCCTCCCACTGACCCTTTCTTCCTCCCTAAAACCAGTTGCTTCCACCTTCCCTCCCAAGAAACCAGGCCTGGGAAAGCACGCCTTAGAGCGCGATCTGCCAGGCCACAAACCCAGCAGGTGATGAAACACAGGCCGGGCCCGTGGCAGCTCCGGGGCCTTGTCTGCACTGGGTATGTCTGGCTCCCCTGGGGCATACTGCTGGTCAGGCTCGGTGGGGCAGATGCTCCTGTGCCATTCCCACACCACAGCTGCTGCCTTTGCTGCTGGAAAATGATGCTAGCAGGAGACAGTCCCACAGTAGCTGGGAAATCCAAGCCCCTGCAAGTCTGGCAAGGCAGATGGCTTGATGCTGACACCCTCTCCCACCTCCATCCCCCAATTACTAGAATAACCTCGGCTTTATCTGGATTAAGTGGCAGTTAAAATGTTGGGAAGTAAGTTTTTGGAGTAAACAAAGCAGCTGGATTAAGTTGGATTTACACAGAAGTGTAGATGTTGGCATGAATTAGGTAATAGGCTTTGTTCAAACACTTCAGCCCTTCAGTTGAAATTCCCCTAGCCCCTCTTGTGCTGCCCTTTCTATTGCAGTTGGGAATTGCTGTTCAAACTCGCCGGTACTGGATTGGACGCCTGTACCACTGCATTGTGCAGAGCTAGCTGATGAGTTGGAATTCTGTTGCATTTGTTCGAAAATTGATGGTCAAGCTGACCGAAAGGGGCCCATTTAACTTCACACCATAGAGCTTCTGTTCCCCCGTCTCATCAGACAGTGCCAAGGGGGCATTCGGCACAACTGAAGGGAGGTCCGTTCAAAATGGAGAAGAAAATGCTTTGTCATATAATGTTTGTTTGGCGTGTGGAACTCCCTGCTACAGGAAACTAAATCCAAGAAGTTAGCAAGGTTCAAAGGAGGTTTGGATAGTATCCAGATAACATCTTAGAGGAGTAAAAGCTAAATTTGGAAGGGGGAGAGCCCCTGTTTCAGGGTTCAAACCAATCTCTATTCCAGTTTGGGATGAGACCTTTATGGGGAGGGCAGATTATCCCCCATCTGTCCCCCACTGGGCTTCTGTCAGTGACAGGATGCAGGACAGGATGGGCCTCTGGGTCTGATCCATCTGGCAATTCCTGTGGAGTGGGGCCTGCTTTTCAGAAAGTGCTGAGAACGGCCCCTGGGAAGAGCAGGCTCCTTTAATGCATCAAAATTGGGCAGCCAAGGCCAAGAGTCACTCTTGAAAATGTAGAAAGAAGGGGAGGACGTGTGGCACCTTAGAGACGAACCCATTTATTTGAGCATAAGCTGCCGCTCACTGCATCAGCTGCATCCCTTGAAAATGTAGGCTGGTAAAGTCTGCATTCAGGATCTCCCACCTGTCTCTTCCACTCGGGCTTTTCGCCCTGTGTAAACCACGTTGGGTTTGGCTGATTTCCTCAGTTGTGGCTCCTCTGCACTGGTGCATCATCTGTAGCCTTCTTGAAAGGGAACAGGGATAGAATGGGACTATCTGAGCCCTTTACCACGCGCAGCGGCATCCCTGGGAATTTTTATGGAGGGGTGACTTAGATTGCAGGGAGGGCGCATGGGGCAGGAACAGCTCCCCCTGCCCTGGCTACAGGAGCCTCTGGAGGGTAAAAGTTCTCCCTGTGCAGAGAGCTGGCACAGGAGTGAGTGCTGCTTCAGCCCAGAGGGGTTTGTATCGTGCAGTCACTGGGAGACGATGGCCAGCAGCTTTGACCCTGGGAAGTCTGGGCCTGTCTGTAGTGGGAGACTAAGGGTGGAGGTGTGGCCCCGTCAAAGTCAATGTTGTCACTGATGTTGCAGGGCCAGGGTTTCACCCATTGTGTGTGTTAACAGCCAACATGATTCAAAGCCCAGTGTAGACAGGTCTAGTTGTAGTTCACCCAGCTCGGCTGGTCAAGGTGGACCTGGTGGGGAGCCTAGACTACGAACTGCCCAGCTAACCTGTTAAAGCTACCACTCGCCCTGTCCGCAGCAGGACTGTAGCAGCCGTGTTTTACAAACACCCTTGTCGAGTGTGGACAGACACTAGCCGGCTAACTCCTGTAGCAGCCGTGTTTTACAAACACCCTTGTCGAGTGTGGACAGACACTAGCCGGCTAACTCCAGATGCACGGGTCTCAAGTGGTTTGGGAACTGAATGCTAATGACAGTATGATACTGTCCAAGGTGGATGCTGATTTATATATTTAATTGGTATCCAAAGGGGTGTTCGGTGTTTTCCCAAACAATGATTTGTAGCTGGTTCTCAACACCCCACTGATAAGCAATGTGCCCCCATCTCTGCCAGCTGCCCACCTGTGTTAATGACCGCTGCCATTGGCAGCAGCAGGACTAAGAGCTCTAGCTAGTTTGCGTAAAATTATAGGCATGGCCTTATGCTGGTGCCCTGCTGCATCTTGTGTGCGTTTGGGAGCGAGAAGCAGCGAAGTGGGGTCAGTCCTGCTCTCGCAGTCCAAACGCTGGAGCTGCGCTTTCCTCCCCGAGCCAAGGGCTGCAGCAGTGAAGTTCTGTGCAGTTTGTTAAACCTGGAAGGCTCCTGGTGTACATGTTCTCTGCTATTGTCTCCTGCTGGCCTGTCAGATGCTACACTTGTAACTCACTGCACTGGCTGGCGTTAGCTGGGAAGTGCATGCTTTGATCCGATGGGGTATTTAGGAGCCTGTAGTTGGTTCTGGGTGTGGGCAGGGGGGCTCCCTTGTGAAAGGAGAGGGGGCTGGGGAGGGTCGCATTCAGAGAGCCCCTGGGCAGTATGGGTGCCGAGGCCCCTTCGCCCTGGGCTCGTTCCGTCGTTACCATGTGCTCTGGTGGTTAATGAAGTCTCAGATCTGGCTGCCTTCTCTTGCAGGTGAACGTCACTGTGGACTATATCAGACCAGCCAGCACCGCCACAGAGGCTGCGCCTGCCTTCTCGGAGCGCACCTGTGCGACCGTTGCCATTGGAGGCATGTGAGTATCGCCCTAGGCAGGCTGGGAACCCCGGGCTGGCCAGCTCTGAGATTGGGCACAGACTTACCAGCATTTCCAGCCACAGTTGAGTGGGATGATCATACCTGGCACTCTCGCTGATACCACCTTGGCCCCAGTGTCCCAGTTTAATGCGCAGGGCACCACAATGGGGGTTTTATAGCAGGTCTCAGTTGTAGATCCCAACGCCAGGTGAGGCTGTCGGGATTACCTAGTCCAGCGGGTCTCAAACTTTGTTGCACTGCGACTCCAACCCCAGTGCCCTGTCGTTACTCTAGAATCATGGCTGGCATTAGGGGGTGGCAAGCAGGGCAATTGCCGGGGGCCCCCCCCGCAAAGCTATGTTGCTCAGGCTTCTGCTTTCTGCCCTGCTCCAGTGAGTCTAAGGCCGGCCCTGGCGACCCCATTAAAACAAACTCGCGACCCACAGTTTGAGAACCGCTGAGCTCGTCTGCTTCTCTGTGTGACACAGGCCAGAGAACGGCCCCATCTCCTGAGCGTTTCTGGTTTTTGCTTTATGCTGCAGACAGCACTAAGTGCTGCTGCTTAGATGTTTTGGTGTGGAAGCCGAAGTCTACATGACAAATGTGTGTTCACACCCCTGAGCAGCCCAGTTCTAACCCCTGCAGGAAATGCAGACAAGCCCTAAGTCCTTGCGGTTTTTAGCCTTTCTGCACCTGTTGCCTCGCACAGGCGATAGCCCTCTTAGGAGTAGGCACTGTTACCCTCGTGGTGAGTGCTAATACAAGCGGGGGATGTGCCCCAGCTCTGCGTTTTTCCGACTGTGACTGTTGGCAAGAATCTCCTGCCCACACTTAGCATGGTCAGTCTGCAAAGCCCTTTGCATGTATTACTTCCCCTCTCTGCCCTGCCTTGTGGTGGTTCCGTGTTCTCGTACCCATATCAGACAGGGAATCACAAGGAGAAAGCAAATGTGACTTGCTCTCCATCCCTAAGGGGGTCACTGGCACAGCTGGGGTTAAAGCTTGTGAGCTTCTGGCTCCCAATCCTGCGCACTGGCCATCCGCCCAAACTGCTAGTGTTTTACAAGCCATGTAAGGGGGCCATGCAGCTCCGAGTCCCCTGTGCTCAGATGCATGGGCTGGCCACCTCCCTGTCTCATGCTGCTCTTTCCAACTCTTCTTTCCATCAAGTAATTTACACATTATTTAACAGCTGCTCGAGTGCTTCTGAGCCAGGCAGCTGTGAGTGGGCTGAGCCTGCAGCCAGATCCTGGCTCATGGGTCTGTCATGCTCACCCTTGTCCCTTTGCCGGGCTGCTCTAAGGACCTTGGGGCAGGGACCCATGTGTTGCCTGTGTGGCTGAGGGATGAGGTGCTGCTCAGATGCAGACACCCCTGGGGCTGCTGTCTCCTCTGGCTCTTGCCATACCCGTAGGCAGGTATAGTGCTCAAAGCCCAACACAGCTTAGGGGATCCGGGAGGAGGAGAGACTCCAAGGGCAGTTCTGAGCCCCTCGCTCTGGGATTTATTGACCAGGGGGTGCTCAGGAAGCACCAGATCACTGCGGGTCCGTGCACTGTTGGGATTCCCAGCCGTGCCTGGTTATTGGAGAGATTTGGTTTATCCCCGCCCCACAGGAGCAGCTAGCCCATTAGCCCCCCTATGGCAGAGCTGACCCTATGTGGCTGCCATGTGTCTCTGGGTGGCTTGCAGCCTTCTAGTGCAGGTGTCTGCAGCCTCTGGATGGCACGGGAGGGCCCCAGGCACTGACGCACGTGCTCAGTGCCTGCAGCCAAAAGCTTCCTGCGCCGACTCCGCTCTGGTCTGTGCTTGGGATGGGTGTATCTGGGACACATTCCCTTCCCCCAGCCCCTGGTAGCCATGGCAGGGTGGCTGGCCAATACCTGGCTCTTGTAGGACGGAAAGAACTTCCTTCTGGCTGTTTGTGTGGCCATGTCCTTAGCGTGCTGGGCTCGTTTGTGCTCTGAGGCAGTGTGTCTGGGGGTGCTGTACTAAGGGTTTGCCCTAGGCTTTTCTTCCCAGCGGTTAGTTTGGAAAGCACCCCAAGTGCTTTGGGGTGTGCCCTTTCGGTTTTCAGTCTGAGGGCAGGTCTACGCTTCAAACGCAGCCTTGCACAGCTGTGCCGCTGCAGCACTGTCATGGAGACGTGCTAAGCCAACGGGGAGAGCTGCTCCTGCCAGCTTAGTTACTCCCGCTCCGCGAAAGGCTGTAGCTAAGTTGTCAGGAGACGCTGTCCTGCCGACACAGCACTGTCTGCGTGTCTGCACCGGCACTGAGGTCGGTGTCGCTGGGGGTGTGGTTGTTCACACCCCCGAGCGACGGAGTTACACTAAAGTCGTTTTATTGTGCAGACCAGGGCCAAGGCCTAAGCTCTGGAGCTGTGTGCGCCTGGGGGGCCCTGCTGAGTGGAAGCCAGAAGTCCGCTCGTTCCTGAGCTTGAGTCTAATGAGGGCACTTATGGCCTTCAGCCAGGCTTGTAATTCCTGCTCCGGGCTCCAGCCGGGCCTGGGTGCAGCAGCGTGTGGACGGTGCGCTGTCAGCATGTAGCCCGTGCACCTCAGCACCAGGCAGGGGAGAGGATGGCTTAGAGGGCTGACGTCGGGATATGGAGCCGCGTGCCTCCAACTTGCTGGCTGGAATCTGTCCCAGGGGGTGCCTGTTGCCGTGAGCCAGCTCTGGGGCCTGTCTGGTCTGAGTCGAAGGGTTCAGTCTAGTTCCTAGTGGACAAAATTCCACAGGTGTCAGTGCCCCATGCCAGGCCCTCCCTTGAGCCCCCTTAGTGGCAGAGGGACAAAGCGTTGAAAGGGCCATAGAGACTGATTTCCCTTTTCACCTGGGGGTGGGTTTCCCCAAGGCAGAGCGGGGGTGGGAGGCTACTCGTCGGGGCTGGGCCCGCCTGCTGGGAGGAGGAGGTGTCGTCTCAGGGGTGGCCGCGTCTGGTTTCTTGGGAGACCTTGGTGGCAGCGTTCGTGTGGCACTTACTGTCCGTCGGTGGTGGTTGGGCCTGCGATGTGCCAGGCGCTTCACAGATGTTGGGCCGGGGTGGTCCCCGGCCTGATGAGCTGGGTGGCAGGAGGAGGGTGCTGGGTGGCTACCCTTGTTCCTGCCCCTGGGGTTTGGCTGGGTCACAGTGGGGGAGTAGGAGTTACCGTTCATCAGATGTAGTGGGGAGAATTGGCCTGGTCCCGACTGTGTCTGTGTCCCGTTGGGCTGATGGGGATGGCTGGAGAGGTTGGTGTCCCGTGAGCCCTGCTGCCCAGGGGAAGACGACAGATCGTTTCATAGCAGCTTGGACTGATGGTAGCGTTTCCTTTCTCCTGCATCGGAGCTGCTGACCTGTGATGGCCTGGCATTCAGACCCTGACCCCTGTGGGGCTGCTGAAGGTAGCGGTGCCATCCCTGGGGCTCCTCCTGCCACTCTGTGCCACGCTCAGCACCATGGTGTCCCGCCGCCCTTCTGGTGTACTCCCCACTGCAGGTTTCTAGCTTTTTCTCTCTGCATCCCTTGGGGGCGTTACTCTGATGAGGTGCGGTCGTAGTATAAGCCGCAGCATCGCTGGACGGTAGGTAGAGGCAAATCCCCTTGCCCCTTGACAAGAATGACCCTCATTTGTGTGACTTCATTGAAACTCACTCAGGGTGCCAGTGACTGGGAGAGCGAAGGGCTGGCGTTCCCATGGTCAGTGGCCATGCTGCAGACAGAGGCTCTCAGTCCATCAGCTGTTTCTCTCCCACCTGACTCCTGCAGCTCCAAGGTGGCTCTCGAGCTGGGCCGGCCTGCGACACGTAAAGGGTCGTCCCACTTGCTCTGATACAACCGTGGTGGCATTAGCATAAAGTGCGTTCGGGCGCCCGTCGAAGTGAGATATCTCTCGCGCTGTGTGCTGGGAATGAAGTGTGTGCAGCCGGTTTGGAACGGGGGGATGCAAAGGGGCTTCTCCGGTGCTGGGCTCAGCGAGGGAAGGAAAGGCTCAGAGTGGGTCTTGAGTTACCTGGCTGACTGTGTGCGCTAGCCAGCAACAGCACTCAGTTGGTAAATAGCATTTACATGTCGACGGCAGAGGCCTGGCTGGAATGGGGGAGGCTAGACGGGTGGAAAAGCCCAGCTGCCTCCCGCGGTGCAGGGCAACAGTAGCTCCCACGTGCTGTCTGGTCTCTCTTCAAATCATCCAAATGGTGGGGCCTGTATTGCTTTGGCTTGCAGTTGGGGCTGTTCCCTGCCGTAATTCCATCACATTGCTCCCAGCTATGGCCTTAGGCAGCTGTCCAGCTGCTCCTCTCCTCCCTTGGTGTTCACACCCCGCTGCAGGGCTGGCCCCTCCTGAACTGTTTCTAGCCCCACTGGGCAGGCTTAGCTCTTTTAATCTCTCCCCTCTTCCTGGGTTGCGTTCTGTGTCTCTTCTCTGAACTCCCTGCAGCTCTTCAGTATACTTCTGGCAGCATGGTGCCCGGGACTGAATGGAGTGGTCGCGCCCGGGGCACCAGTGCCAGGACTCAGAGGGACACTGGCCAGGATTGGGCACTTACGCAGTAGCGGGAACATCCGGAGTTATACCAAAGATAAAAATACCCCACCACCAAGGACTGCCTGCCTCTGGATCAGGGCTTGAGCGGAGCGCTGGGGTGAGGACACAGAACAGCCGGCCCCGAGAAGGCTGTCACTGCTCAGTGCCGTGAGATCTTGCGCTGCCTTCTGAAATGGCTGGTGCTGGCCACTGAGGGAGACAGAACACTGGGCTGGATGGACCTGGGCCTGGCACTCCGCATGCTCCTCGACAGGAAAGGGGCATCTCCGCCCTGCCCCGTGGCGTGATGTGCCTGCGTCTGCTGCCGTGAATTGCACTGACCTCTTTTCTGGCTGCTGCACCACAGAGCAAACTCCTGTCTGGCCTCGTCTCCCCCTTCCCATATCTCTGGCATTGCAGCTGAGCAGACCCCTCCCCCCACTGAGTGTCTATGTCCCAGGGAATCCCCCTCCCCCCCCAGCCTGCTTGCATC